CGGGCCTGTTTTTTTCGGCCTGCGAAGGCCGCGAAAGCTTCCCTCGAGCCTCTGGAAGGCCGAAAAAAGGCCCGGAAATCAGGTCAGAGGCCCCTGCGCGTGCAGTCTTGGCCCGGGCCTCTGCCACAGGTTTGCCCTCACGGCCTTAGCCTCACATCCCGCTTCACGGTCCTCTTTTAAGCGGCGGGCGGAGTCCGCCATCTTGCCTCCCCAACAATCCGGGCCCCTCCTTTGACCGACGTCCGTAGGGCGGAAGGCTGAGTCAACCGGGAGCCGGTCAGGATGGATACCTTCCCACCTCCAGAGCTGGGAGCAGAGATTCCCCAGGGACCCACCTCTCCCCCCCCACCTGTCCCGTGGGGCACAGCGCCCGAGCAGCCCTGGGGAGGGGTTGCCAGGGGGGGGGAGGCCGCCAGGAACCCTTAACCCACCGTGAGCGTGGCCGTGGGTGTGGCCGTGTCCCCCTTTGACGTGCCTGACGAACTTCTCCACCACCAGAAAGGCCACCAGGCCGCTCAGGACCCAGAGGCCGACGGCCATCGTGTGCTGGTGCTCCGGGCCTGGAAGGAGGGCGAGGGGTGTCAATCACCGGGGGGGGGAGGGGTCTCTTTTCAAGGATTCTCTCCCCTCCCCCCGTAAAAAGGAATGATCCCGCCCCGCTTGTCCCCCCAGCGCCCCCTTTCGGCAAAGGGGAGGGGGAAGTCTACCCCTCTCCGGCCGCCTGGACCTTGCATGGACCCCCCTACCTTGGTGGGAGTGGCCGTGGCCGGAGGGCCTGGCGTGGGAATGGCCGTGGCTGCCACCGCCGCCTTCTCCGTGAGGAGCATGGTGCTCTGCGCGGGGTGGGGGGGGGAGGAAGAGGAAGAGAAGCACCCAGTGTGGGAGGGGGACCTCTCCGCCTGGGGGAGGGGGCTGACCCCCCCACCCCACCCAAAGCCCTTGTGGCTCACTTGGGCAGCCTCCTTCCCTCCCTCCCTGCCAGGGGTGAGGGTTAGGGTCTGGGGAGGGTCTGGGGAGGGGGGGACTCACCCAGGGCGTGGGGGATGAGGTGGAGGAAGGCGTCCCCCAGGAGGCCCCCCGAGGCGAAGCTGAGCAGCAGCTTGAGCAGGGCCTGGTGCTGGGGGCTGTTGGACTCCACCGGGATGAGGAAGAGGATGAAGTAAGGGGCGGCGCTGATGAGGAGGGTCGCCCCCAGGGCCTGCGGGGGGGGGGAAGGGAGGGGGGGAGGGAGGAGAGAGCGGGGCAGGTGTCAGTCAGGGAGGGCAGCCCCGCCCCCTTTGGGAGCAAGCAAAGGGGGGGAATGCCCCCCCCCAGGTCTCTCTCTCTCTCTCACAGACACACACACACACTGGAGGCAACCAGGAGGGCGGTTTCACACACACACACACACACACACACACACCCCGAAAGGGCCTGGGAGGCTGTGCAGTGAAGCCCCACCCCTTCATCCCCTGCCGGGCTCGGCCCTCCGCCCCACACCGGGGTCCCTCCCCCTCCCACTGCAGAGGGGTGGGGGGTACGGGGGTGTTGCCAGACAGCCTACAGGTGGTGCCTCTCCCCATCAGGAGGCTGCAAGTTCGATCCCAGGCAGAGGCTAGAGTTTGGCTTAGGGGGTTGGACTAGATGACCTTCCAAGGTCCCTTCCCCCACCTCGTTCGATCCTAGGCAGAGGCTAAGGTTTGGCCAAGGGGGGCTAGACTAGATGACCTCGCAAAGTCCCTTCCCCCTTCTCGTTCGATCCTGGGCAGAGGCTAAGGTTTGGCCTAGGGGGTTGGACTGGATGACCTCCCAGGTCCCTCCCCCTTTTGTTGATTCCAGGCAGAGGCTGTTTGGCCTAGGGGGTTGGACTAGATGACCTCCAAAGGTCCCTTCCCCCTTCCCGTTCGATCCCAGGAAGAGGCTAAGGTTTGGCCGAGGGGGGCTGGACTAGATGACCTCCCAAGGTCCCTTCCCCCTCTCGTCCCATCCTAGGGAGAGGCTAAGGTTTGGTTTAGGGGGCTGGACTAGATGACCACCCAAGGTCCTTTCCCCCCTCTCATTCGATCCCAGGCAGAGGCTAAGGTTTGGCCTGGGGGGCTGGACTAGATGACCTCCCAAGGTCCCTTCCCCCCTCCCGTTCGATCCTGGGTAAAGGCTAAGGTTTGGCCTGGGGGGCTGGACTAGATGACCTCCCAAGGTCCCTTCCCCCATCTCGTTCGATCCTGGGTAAAGGCTGTTTGGCCTGGGGGGCTGGACCAGATGACCTCCCAAGGTCCCTTCCCCCCTCCCGTTCGATCCTAGGCAGAGGCTAAGGTTTGGCCTAGGGGGGTTGGACTAGATGACCTCCCAAGATCCCTTCCCCCATCTCGTTCGATCCTGGGTAAAGGCTAAGGTTTGGCCTAGGGGGGCGGACTAGATGACCTCCCAAGGTCCCTTCCCCCTTTCTCGTTCGATCCCAGGCAGAGGCTAAGCTTTGGCCTAGGGGGCCGGACTAGATGACCTCCCAAGCCCCATGGACTCACGTAGCTCCACAGCCAGAGGGGCTCCAGCTTCTCCCTCCTCCCGGCGGAGGCTCCGGGGCCCCCGTGGCCGGGCAGCCCCCCGTGGGCGTGGGCGTGGGAGTGACCCCGGGGGTCTCCCGGGCCGGGCCCGTGCCAGATGTGCTCGTGGCTGTGTCCGTGGCAGCCGCCGCCGTGGCCTCCCGGGTGCGAGTGCGCGTGCGCGTGCCCGTCCTGGCCGAAGGCGGCCCAGACTAAGGCCGCGCAGACCGCCAGGGTCGCCGCCGTCCGGCTTCGGAGCCTTCCGCCGCCGCTCATCGCCATCGCCCTACCGGGGTGGAAAGGCACCTTAGCGGGGCTCCGGGGAGCCGTTTCCCCGCTGCGGCGCCCGGGGGAGGCCAGCTTCGCCCCGGCCTCCCCCCCCCCCCCCGCGCCGCTCCCGCCTCCGCTCCGCCCGGAACTCTATGGCCGAGCGCCCCCGGTGGGGGGGTCCCCTCTGCGCCCGCACTCTATGGCCCCCGCGGGACCCTCAGGCTCACCCGGCTCCGAGAGACGCGCCGGGTTTAAGAACAGACGTGGCACCCAGGCCCCGCCCACCGCGGCAAACCCTCGCGAGAACCCCCACCCCCACCCCGTACACCAGGGGCGGGCAACTATGGCCCTTTTAATGAATTATGAACTTCAACTCCCAGAATTCCTGAGCAAGCCATGCTAGCTCAGGAATTTGGGGAGTTGAAGTCCACAAGTCATAAAGGGGCCACAGTTGCCCACCTCTGCCGTACACACACCGCGGGTTTTCTGTCCCGCCAGCCTCCGACATGGCGCCTCGGAGCGCCCCCGCCCGCCACCATCATGGCGGGCGAGGTCTGCGGCTGCGCCCCGGTGGAAAGTGAAGTCTCGCCCTCAGCAAAGATGGCCGCCGCTCGGCCTTTACGAGGCCGAAGTGGACTTTTTTTTCCCTCGTGAGCCTTCCCAGTTCCGGCCACTCCGCTCTGGGCGGCACCGGAAGGCCGCTCGGCCTGGGGGTTGTGGTGGTGGTGGTGGTGACGGGAACTCCAGACAGGCCGCCGCCCGAGCCAAGAGGGGAGAGGAAAGCGCGGAGCCGCGTCTGGTGGGGTTGGTGGGATCACTCAGGCCTGCCGCGGGGCACGACGGGAAAAGCCCGGCCGGGGCCAATCGGAGGGCGCGGACGCGGGGCATGCCGGGAGTCTGGCCAAGGCCGGGGAGCCGCGCCGAGAGGCCCGCGGTGCATGGTGGGTAGGCGGCGGCGGCGGCGCCCGGCGGGGGCGGGGGGCGCGGAGTCCGGGGCGCCCGGCGGGACCGAGCGCGGCCATGGGGGACGCGGGACGGGGAGGAGGAGGAGGAGGAGGAGGAGCAGGTACGGGCCCCGCGGGACGGGGGAGGGGGCGGCGGAGGGCGGCGGCGGTCCGGCGGAGGTTCCTCGGGAGGGCGGCGGGGCGGGAGGGGGAGGGGGAGCAAGACGGGCGGCGTCCCGGGGCTTCCCTCCCTCCCTCCCGGGCCCCGAGCGGAGCCTCCCTGGGGCGGGCCGAGCGGAAGCTCTTCCCGGGACGCCCCGACCCGAGAGAGGCTCCTCTTCCCGGGGACGGAACCCCGCCGGTTGCCCCCCACACCGGATCCCGGGGCCGGAGCCCCGGATCGGCGCTTCTCCCGGCCGGCCCCGAGCACCGGATCCGCTTCCCGGAGAAGCGGCCTCGGCCTCCCGGGCTTGGGAGCCTCGCTGAGCGGCCCCGATCGTCGTCCCCTCCCCCCTCACCCGGTGGGTTTGGTTGCTTTTTGGGGGGGGGGAGGGGAGGGATCTCCCGTGATTCGGTGGGTGGCCGATCCCCGGAAAGAGCCCCGCCCCCCCCCCC